CAGCCAGGGTACACACCCTTAACAGCAACTACAAAGGCATCCCAGTCATCAGCTGTGGGTGTGGCTTCCAGAAGTGTTTGCCAGACTTCAGCTTCTTCAAGGTCAGCATAGCAGATTGCAGCTCTTATCCTGCCATGGTCATCAAGAGCAGCAAGAGTACTGAGGAAGTCAATGTCTTCAAGGTAGTGCAGAAGCTGCACAGGAGAATCTCCACTAAATTTAGGTGAGTTTTGTGTACCATGGAGTGGCATCTGAAACTGAGGATTAGCCATTGGTGGGTTAACCTGTGGTGGCAGTGCCAGGTTGGTAATGGGTAGAATGGGTATTGGATGTGGATGTGGAGCAGTTAGTATAGTGTGTGGCCAGACTGGCAGAAGTGTAGGTGGGTTACTAATTGGCTGAGGGGTGGTCTGCAACTGAGTGAGTGGTCACAGCAGTGTAGCAGATGGATCTGAGAGTATGGGTATAGATTTGGAGGTGTCAAAGCAATGGGAAAACAAGGGCATTGGTGATGATAAACCAGATGATGTGATGGGTGTTAAAGGTGATGGCAGGGTTTTGGACCTTCAGGGAGTCGAGTGGATAAAGCCACTGGGAAAATCAGGGGCAGTGAGATCTAGGTGGTCCAACATGATGGATATCCAATCTGCCAAAATATCAGGAGGAGTGATCATGGGTAGTACCCACAGAATGTCAGCAGGTAATTGTGCATAATCTGGTGTTATGGGTGAAACAGGGCAGAAGAGGTTGGAGTCTTCTGACAGGTTGAGATTATGAAAGTGCAGGCATAAATTTTCTAGTTCCATGTGTTTGGCAGTGCACCTGAGTGACCTTCTGGAAGCAACAGCAGAACCCCTCACAGTGGGCTCCAGTTGTAGGAAAAGTCCAAGTAGCTGTATAATACAAGCTAGATGGCTTAGATAACAACAATAAAAATGAAGGGAACAAATTGCTCATCCCAAGGGGTTCTGGGCTGTTGAGACTAGAAGGTGGGACCCAGCACTTTGTAGTGGTAGTGATTCATGATGTGCACAGCATGGTCTGCAGAATAGTATTGGCAGTGCAAGTGGTGCAAGCTGTATACATAGTTTGTGCATGGCAGTATGCAAGATGTGCAGTGTAGATGAAGTGAAAAGGAAATTCATGGTGACCTTCCAAGTGCCAAAAGGTATCATTCTGTACCTAAGTACAGGGCTTTATAGTCCAGGCAAACCCAGAACCTAAGTAAGACTGAATACAAGTGAGGAGAAGGGCACACAACAGCACCTACACATAAGACAGGACAGGCCAGAACATAGGCCAAGGGTATACTACTAACAAAAGGGGAACAGAGACTGTGTTAAAAGAAAGAGTCCAAAGGAAGGGAGGCAGCTGAAGCACAGCAACCATGGGTATAGCTTTGCATGAGAGGGAGCAAGGGCATATGAAGGTAGCATGTGAACAATGGTGGATGCGAGTGGTCCAGGAATGTAATGATGGTTGTGGAATGGTCGATGATAGGGGCTTATGTGTCCAAGGAATGTGGATTCCTTACAGTGTGACTAGGGCCAAAGATGTCATAGCTGCAAGGTTGGAGTCATATGAAGTGGGAAGTGAACTGAGAATGATTGCTGTGAAGTTGTCATTTGTGATAGATTGTCCAAGTGCAGCAAGTTGTTTGTGCAGTGCATGCATCTTGTTGAAGTGAGCATGGACATCACCTTTTTCTGCACAGCAGGATTCTTGGAGTTTTCTCTGAAGATCAATTGTGACAATGAGAGAGCAGTTTTGGAAAAGATCAGTGAGGACACCCCACACACTCTTCAGTCTCTTCCTTCAGAACTTGAAGGAACAATGATTCCAGGAGTGACACAGTGATCACTTGCTTGATGTATCCATCATCCTTTGCCCATTGCCAGAGTTTTTCAGGGTATTCACTGACAAGTTTTTGCTCTGTGGTGGGCTTCCAGGAGGAGTCTTTTCCCACTGAAGGGTCCTCTGGTTTTGCATCCAAGCCAGTCAAGTGTCCAATCAGCCCTTTCAAGCTGACAGCCCACTCAACCTGAGCCTTGTAATATAACCAGTTGCTTCCATCTGCACTTAGGGTTGGGACTTGTAAGGAATGATCATCTTTCACCATAGTGGGTATTCTTGCTGTGTAATAACTCTTTCAGAATTAGAGCATGAGAGTAGGGCTCATAACCTAATCAAGGTATGAGTGGGCAAAACTCTGAGAGGCTACCATAACTCTGGAACACATTCTCAACAGTGATTGCTATCTACTGAGGTTGATGCCCAGTGAAAACTGGACATCACCAGGTATGACCTGGTATGACAAGATGTGAGTTTGTGTGTACAAGTGATATATTGACATATCCCCCTATGAAAGCTTGACAAATATCATATCTGCAATATTCTGGGGCAGAGTCCTGTGTGGTGACATATCACAAATTTGCATAAAACATAAAATATCATATCTACACATATATTAGTATGAGAGCTCTTGAGGATGCAATATTCTTGGTTGTGATGACATATGATGATATGTGATCCTTACTAGTTTTTTGCTCAATATGGAATATGCTCTAATATGTTCCAATATGATGATTAGCTAATGCCAGGCAGTTTTGCACTTGATGCAAAATATGGTCCAATATGGTCCAATATGATGTATTAGCTAATACTGGGCTAGTACTAGCTCTACAGGCAGGTATACACTCTAATTGAACTGGAAGTGCATGCAGGTGCAAGCTAATGAAGAATCATGAAATGCAGCTGTGCAGAATGTGTGGATCCAGTGTATGATGCATACATCCAAAAGTGCCAGAATGAGATGAATTGAGCAGTGATGCAATCACTGATGGGGCAATGGGAAATGGTGTGAATGTGATATGTGAGCTCAAGGGAATTGGGAATTAATGAAGGTCACTGTCACTACCAATTTTCTTTGGGTCCCATTTATCAGTCTTTGCCTTTTGGAGAATGTGAAAACCATCATAACTGTAACATAATGGGCTTACCAATTCCACAGCCTTGTCATTGTATGTCTAGTAAATTATCAACCTATCAGTGACATCACTATGGACCATTGCACTTACCTGTCATTGTTTATTTGTCAAGCCATTATAATATGTCTTGAACTCTTCTGTGGTACCATTTAATTGCACCTTCTTGAGCCAGCAGTAAGTGCACAGGTTCCTAGAAATGATCTTGAGTAACATGCCAGTGCTCCAATGGCAATGTACCATCCATTCCTCATGGGACCTGGGTGCATCCTCCCCTTTCCCATGCCCTTCATCAACTTGCTTGCTGACATTGCTGGGGTATCTTCAGGCATTGTTACAGCTGGCAGGATGGCATCCAATAATTCGAAAATGCCAGGTGCACCTGACTGCATCTCAGTTGCTGCTGTGGAACTGGATTGCAATTCTTGAGGGATATTGAGAGCCAGTGGCAGTTCAACTGCTCATGCCTTGTTGGTGGCAGTGGCAAGAGCAGTGCTATAACATAATATTATCAGTACAAGTACAGGCACATGTGAGTTACTTACAGGGGGTTTATACAAATGTTGTTGGGGGCAGGAGTTTTGAGACTATGTTGCAAGCTCTCCTCATTGCTGGACATGTTCCCAGCACTACTTGGAGTTGATGCAGACACAAAAGCAATTGGTGGGAAGTTGAGACCCTTGGACAGTTTGGATGATGCTTGCATGGGTCCCAGTGAAGTGGAGGTGTCAGATGAGGGAGGCAAGACTGAGGATGTGGAGGAAGATGGTGTTATGCTTGCCATGTTTTTATAATTCCCTTACATCTGGAGGTTAGCTTGATCAATGTGAATAAATGTGACTCATACTCTTCAGTTTCTTCATGTCTGGTTCCTCCAACTTGAAGGCATACTGTGAGCCTTTCTGTTTCTAACTGATCTTGTCCATGCTGTTGTCCTTGTCCTTGTCCTTTGGCCTTTTACCTTTTGTTGACTTCCACCTACCATTATCATCAATGTACATCTTCTGCCAGGCAGGGTAGCTAGTGCTTGCCAGATACTTGAGTTTCCAACTGTCATGTGTGAATTTGAACATTGGATAAGCATTTTCCATGAGGTCATGAATAAACTTGCAGCCACTTGCAGACAGCCTTCCCCATGTTGTAGGCACCATCTGCCAGTTCACAAGTTCTGCCCAGTCTCCACAGAGAACCTTTTGTATTGCTTTGGCTGCCTGGTCTGACAGTGGGTCTCTCTTTTCATCCTCAAGATACTCCAAGGTCCCACATGTACTAGTCTGGCCTTCAGCAGAGTCAAGGTATTTGTCCCAGTCTTCTTGGTACCAAAATCAGATGGACAAGTGGTTCTCTCAAGTTGGATGTAGCTCCTTCTTTGACTTTGATGCCTGAGAAAACAAAGTGCTGCCATCAACCTGGCATGGGTCCATGTTGCATAATATGACAGCATTTGACAGGCACTGGAAAGCTGTCCTATATGAGGGAGTTAGTGCTAGTTGGTGACCAATCAAAACATGTTCATCAACCTAAGGGTAGTATTTTCTATGGTGAGCTTCATCACCTGCCCTTTGAGGACCTTGATATGCTCTTGTAAAATATTGACTTGTTTTGATTCATGGCTATATGTGGTGGTCTGAAATGAAGGTTGTGATAAGTACAAGTTAGCAGGAATTGAAAATGATGACACTTACATTCATGAATGTGGAATATGGGGTCATCAACATGTCATTTGCCTGTGAGAAATTCATGTCAGGGAGCTGCTGCAAGGGGAAAGACTGTTGGAATGCAAGGTTTGTGGGTGATGGGGGTGTCAGAAGTAAGGATCTGGTGGGTGAGTTATTTGACATCAACATTGATGACATCACCATCACCAGTGTTGGGGACAGGGGATATCAGGAGTACTGAAGTAACAGTACTAGTGGTAGGAAGTAGCCGTTGGCATTTCCCAGTTGGCATATTCTGACATGCCAACTTTAATTAATGCAGTGTCAACACACAGCCTTTTTCACTTAAGTGCTACAGATGTCATTGAGACCAAGTACATGCATTATCAATGTGGTGGAGGATGTTATATACATTGAGGTTGCTGGCTCTTTTTCCAAGTGGGACACCCACTTTTTTTTAGTTGATATTTTGTCACCTGGCATCAAGAAGATCATGTTCTGTCTCAAGGACACTGTCAATAACAAGTAAGTAACATCCCTTCTCACCCAGGATGCTGACACCATTAGCTGCAGTCTCTCCACTGATGCAAAGTGTACACTGGAAGGAGAGGCTTTGGAGCAGGTCGAGGCAGCCAGTTCCCAGCTCCAGACTGCTCATGCAGCTCTGTGAAAGGCATACAAAGGGACAGCCAGCATCCAAAACATGTTCTGCAGTGTGGTTGATGCAAGCCACACTTTGGACACCATCTGCAATGAGTTATTGGTTATTAGAGATGCTGAAGAGTCCAGCATCACAGAACCTGTTGGGGCTGAGGATGTCAAATGCAAGCCTGACCCAGAGCCTGGAAATTTGCAGTATGTTTACCACTGCATTGTGTTTCTATCTATCTCATGGATGACAGGTTTGAGTCAACTTCTGCCTCTCCCTGTAGAGTGCTTGCTTGCACCACCAGAAATCTGAACCCAGATGCCCATAGTCCAACAAAACCACAGGCCTACCACATCATTCCATTCAATCCATCTGATATCCCCACACAGCTTGCTAAAAGGAAGGCAGCAGTCAATGCATCCACTGGCCCCATCCAGAAACATGCAAAGTTGGAGGTACCATAAGTGTCATTTCTCCCTGTTCTTCCATGGCTCCATTTACACTTGCACATCCTCTTTATTGTTGTCTCATTTTCTTGCTCTCTTGTTGGTATTAATCAAGTCCCTGTAATACCATTGTAGGGAATGAGTTCAAATTCCCTACAAGAAGTCATCTTGGTCAGAAGAGAATAGGGGTTGGGGGGGCTTGTGTTTTGTTTCTTGCTTTTGTTTTTGTGTTTGTACCACTGGACTTAGTGGCGAGCAGCTGTGTTGCTGACTAAGCATGTGTACTGTGTTTGTGTGAGTTCAGTTTACCATGGAACCAGTTCATGACAGGCCCTCAGTAGTAGGGTGATATAGTCTCACATTTTGGCAAGTTTTCGAGGTTAGATTTATTACTTTGGGGAGTACCCAAAGTGCCAGGAGGACTGGCAGAAGGTATTAGACAGGCAGAGCTAAGTATTTGTTTCAGTTCGCATTTTTACACTTTTACTACACTTCTTTTCTCCAGTGAGAACCTCCCTTTTGGGTTGAGCACAAATCTCACCCATCACTGACTATTACTATTTCTAGGTACTATCTATTACCTATTCCTACACCATACACCTACTCAGCTGCTGCATTTTGATCACCCCCATTGTCTTGATACACTGTATAGAATAGAATACCTAGTTTTGAAAGATAGACAATGCCTGGTTTTGCCATTAAAACAAGTGACTGATTTATTTGAGTTTCATGGAACAGTAGTATACATGAGCAGAAGACAGGCTAATAATGAATCCCTCTACAGTCACTCAATGTCAGCACCCTGGTCATCCTCATCATCTTGATAGATGCTGTATGGTATGCCCACTTGTGAAACATCCAGTCCCAGTTTCTCCATCAAAAAAAAAAGATCTTCTATGATGCTGGATGGCTGCTTGAGGCAGTGTGGGATCATAGCAACCACACTCTTGATGGACTTTATATAGACAATGATGAGTTCATTTGACAGCTCTGATCAGGCAAGCATGTGCAATGATTTTTGCAGAAGTGTTTCATCTGAGAGGGAGTAGAGGTGAACAATGGCAACATCTTCAAATTGGGTTGCATCAGCAGTAAGTCTGGCAAAATACTGCACTTCCTGAATCATTCATGTTTGCAGTAGATAAACTAAATTGATGTTAGCATGTCATAGCACCAGTGATATTGTACCTGCCTTGATGTTTCTCAATACATGGATTTGAGTGGACAGTTTGAGTTTTTCTCACCACAGAGATCAGGCAATCTGGCCATTGGGAAGATGAAGTCATGCCCATCATTTGAACCATTCAGGCAGCTGACTGATGAACTCACCAACAATGCAGGCTTCTTCTCCAGTTGGGAGCCAGGGGTGCTTGTCTCACTTCTGCAGAAGGACATATCCATCTCCCAAATTAAAGGAGCCCATGGGGTCCCCCTTGATCCCATCATTGAGTTTGGGCATAATTACAAGAAGCACATTGACCTGATGAGGTGTTAGTTAGTTTGAATGTCAGAATATGACAGCATGTACCCTGCATCTTCACACTCCCCCCTCAGTGAGGTTCTCATAAGGTTTCAATGGCTGCCATATTTCCTGGCTGAGGTTGCCTACGGTGCACTCCATAACCCATTGCACATAGCAGATTGGAGGGCCCTTGTGCATTGTCTTGGTTACAAGATGGAGAACCTGATGGACACATGGGCAAATGAAGTGGAGCTGGTCTTGCCTGAGCTGGTAGTAGAGAAGTTTGAACTCACAGCCCCGTGTGCAGAGAAGAACATAGGCATACTTGAGGTCTTGTTTATTGATGGTGTACTGAGACATAATTTGGATGCCATGAACAAGCTTGCAAAAGTTGGCCCAGTAGCATTCTGGAAGGATGTCATAAAGGAGAGCAGGTGTGAGGCCAAAAGTATACAAATGAAACTCCCAGGTTTTGTAGTCCATATTAATTTTTTTCAGCAATGTTGTGCAGTTTACAGTCAAAGGAGCCTGGGACATACATGCCAGTGTTCTTGACAGCCTGCCCATGTGCAGTCCAAACTTCCTCATCATGGACAACTGCCCAGTCCCACAACACTTTGTCATCTGTGTGGTAATGTAGAAGGTTAGAGACACTATACATTATGAGCAATTCAACCATAGCACCAAATACAGATACAAGATCATCTGAAGAGTGACCATGTAACACAACACATCTGATAATTGGGGGCTTACATGCCAGAACATACACTGTCAGACATGATTGTCTTTTGTGGATCAGCCAACCACTAGAAGGAAAAAAGTGCGAGCTGCGAGGTAATTGATGCAATGTATTATACAGGCGATATCTATGCTTACGCTCGATCTAAGTAGAAAAGCAGTCCGATTTTCCCCGGGAATAATGTTGGCATAATACGAATTAGTTGGTCACGTGAGCGTCCCGGGATGACAAGTGTTGCATCAAGAGTTCGTAGCTGTGAGTAAAAATATTGGGATGAGTAAGGAAGATGTGACGGCTGATACCCACGTTAACAGGGTAACCGCACTATTAGGTACGGTCCGGAACAAGTTGACAGAGAGTCCCTTGTACAAACCGGACCAGCCCTCTTTCTGAATGATCTTGCGAGTGATATAAATAATACCGCGACGGGTGTGCATCTTGATCATGCCGTCCGAAGACATGTCCTCGGCGATGGGAAGACGGAGAGTCTGCAATCGGGTTCTGATCACTTCATGGGGGTATGTGGCGACGGAAGCGGTCATTTTGGCGATGGCGGAACAAAGAAGGATCGTGTGACCGTGCAACGGGGCATCCGAGTCGCCCTCTGGGAGAGGGGAGGGTGAACGTTTGAACTACCGCGTTGATACCGGATGGGTGGCATCCAGATGTATATGTACTTACGTGCCCATATCTTGAGTTGTTCGTACAGAGGAAATTGTACGGCGACATGGAGAATTCCGAATAAGCTGGGTAATAATCCGCGATAAAACGCGCGTATGCCCTCTGTTTCGTATATGGTCCAAGCGGCGTCGAAGGTATGTCTGTATCTCACTTCCCTTCGCGACTGGGTCTGGTGAGGAAAATGAACGACCGAGGGTTCGCCGGAACTCGTTCTGCGGGGACAGAAACCGCAAGGAGGGACGTACCATGAAGCGAGTTTTGATGACCCAGAGCGGCGTCGTGCAGGTCGTGCTAACTGCACCTGCGATCATGGCGGAGAGCAGATGGAGGGTCCAAGGATGGTCACGCATGACGGGTTGATAGCCCTTCGGATGTGCAGCAGGGTATATGCGCCTCGGTTTCTGAGTCTCACCCAGCGGGGGTTCTCCGAAGCGGGTCTTGATGCCGTCGTAGACTGCAAAGTAGATTGCCCAAGTGGGGAGGTAGCCCAAAATTGTTGGACCGAGACCGCGGTACAATCCTCGAATGCCATCGTGACGCAGTGTGTTCTTGAGGATGTCTGGGTAGGTGGCGAGTCAGGAAAGACCGGAGGGGGGAGACTCGATGGGATACAGACCGCGAACGCCTTGATAGCTCTCCTGGCCTGCTACAGCTTGCTGAGCCTGCAATTTTGTCTTGACGACGTCGAGTGGACAGGTGGCGATACTAGCAACGAGTCCGCCTCCAGCCCCGGCTGTGTAATAAATAGATGCCAGCAAGAGAAGACGGGGTGGGATTTGTTATCTTCGCAAGGCACGAGCGCCGAGGAAGCTTGCGCACGCACCTATGACGCTGTGTGCGAGCCATTTGTTCTTGCCTGACTGCTGCATCGCTCTTCCCCGCAGAGGGGGACCGGGCGGAGGAGGGGGTGGGGAATGATGGCAGCTGCTAATAAGATGCTCATCGACTGACTTAATCCACTCCATTATTTCACATGCACACCCGGCTCTTGCCGACTAGCAAATCGATATCACTGTCCTAATCTAATCCTACATGGGATACTAGCTACACCCTGACTAGTATACCCATGTAGACCACCTGCATGACAGCCTCGAGAAACAGGAACGTGATTCGGCGCTTCCGTTGGGCATGTGACACTGTCACTGGTGTCGTTGCCGAAGACAGGTCTGGGAGAACGACCGATCGGAGAGAACGGAGCTGGATGCCCGTCAGTGTGTTTCTGCAGGATGTTCGATGTTCGCTTACCAGGAAGAATGCGTTGGCTGCAAAAGCGTAGGCAAAGACCAGCAGATATACAGTCCTGCTGAAGTTGACCAGTCCGGTCAGGAGGGTGAGGATGACGCTATGTATGCTCGGATAAGTGGACGGGGGGCATGTAATGAGCAGGAATCCAACGCGTACCCGACAAACTTGTAGCCGCCATATGCAACGAGATCTGTGAGTTGACTAGAGCTTTGTACGTTGAGCAAGTAGCAGCCGCCTTTGACGAACAAGAAGTCGAGAAGGAGAACGACGAGGGCACGCGACGCAGACGCGCCGAGTATTTGTGGATGGAACCGGTCTTGAAGACCAGTTTGCAGGGCAGAAATGAGGATGTAAGTGACAAACGCCATGACTAGAAGAAAAAAAGTGATGAGCACGTCCACGTCAGCACAGAGAGTTCTCGTACGAGGAATGTAGAGGTCCGGACTGTTGACGTCGTCCCGGGGAGGCTGCCATTCGGTGTGACCTGCTTCCGACCTGCGTACTCTGCGTGACCAGGGTTTGTGTCTCCAAGGGAAGAGGAGAATTTGCAGCTTCTTCATGACATACGAATTGGAGACGTTGAAGTGGTGTTTGAGGAGGGTCAGGGGAATGAAACCGCCGAACTGGGAGCTGCGGAGTGAGCGAGGACACCCTTGAAAGCAGATGAAGCTCACGTTTTTCTGGACATATTCATGACCTGCAGCGACTGCACTCTGACCGAGCTGCATTCCGAACTGGGCGGTGGTGTCGTTCATGCCCCATGCTGCAAAGTCGGGCAGGTGTGGTTGAGGCTGGTATCTGTGGTAGCCCTGCGGGGGTGAGCCTGGGCCTGGGGTGGAGGGTGGCTCAGGTATGAATGCCGGGTGAGTGGGGACCGGGTGCTGCAGGGGTGGTGGTGACCGGGAATAGTAGCTGCTCATCGTCGCACTCGTCGCACTCGTCGCTGTCGTCTCGACTCGCTCGTCGCGTCGCTGTAGCGGAGAGACAAACACAGACAAACAAACCCCGTCTCATAAAATTGGCTGGTCAGGGCTTGTCACATTTCAGTAGCTGCTGTCATGTCGTCGTCGAGTGTGCGCGCGACGGACACGCCTGCGATCAAGAATGCACCCGTCGCCGGGCTGGCAGAGGGCAACGGGTACTTCTCAAACACCCACCTCGCCATCCTCGTCCTTGGCGTGCCGTTCTTTGTCAAGCGCATACTCCCCATCGTCAGCCGCGGTGGCTTCAAGACTTATGTCTTCCTCGTTGTCGTCCTCGGCGTGCCCATCACCGTCGCTTACTGGACAGTCGCGTCCATGTATGGAAAGAGAAAAAACCTGAAGGTCATCCTGCCCACCAGGGACATCGAGGAGTACATCACCATCAAGGACGAACAACTTAAGTCCCTCTACCATGGAAAGGAAAAAATCCCCATGCAGATATTCCACGACGCGTACTTTGACGGCAAAATCGACTTCAACGGTAGGAAAATCCCGTTTTGTGAACGTGTTTCCGCAGCTGACGCGTGTCATCCAGGCGATGTGTTGGATATCATGGAACAGCGCCACGACTGGGCTAAAATGGTTTTCACCCCAGAACTGTTCAAATACGTGTTCATGAACCTACTCCCTGAAGTCATCGTTCACTCTCAGAGCCAGGACGAGGAACAGGTCCGTGGTCACTATGACAGAGGCGACGACTTCTATGAATGGTACCTTTCCTCTTCTTCCTCTACTTTCTCTGGGCCAACCGTCTGCTGTCCAGGTTCTTGGGCCCACGCATGATTTACACCTCCGGCGTGATCACCTCCACTACCGAGCCCCAAACTTTGGAACAACTCCAGGATAACAAGCTCGCTGTCGTCTGCTCAAAACTGAACCTACAGCCCCATGACCGTCTTCTCGATGTTGGCTGTGGATGGGGTACCCTTTCTGCATTTGCCGCCAAAAACTACGGTTGCGACGTCACCGGCATCACCCTCGGCAGGAACCAGACAAAGTTTGGCAACGACCGTATCAAAGACAATGGTGTCACTCCCGACAAGGCTCGCATCCTCTGCATGGACTACCGTGATATCCCCTGGTGGCCCCGGTCACTACACCAAGATCGTCAGTCCTTGAAATGGCCGAACACGTCGGTATTAGACGATACGGTTCATTCATGAGACAAATGTACGAGCTCTTGGACGACGACGGCATCTTCGTACTCCAAGTCGCCGGCATCCGCCCCTCATGGCAGTACGAGGACTTGATCTGGTACGTCGCCGTCGGCGGTACTGTAGCATGTATCTCACAAGGAGTAGGGGTCTCTTCATGAACAAGTACATCTTCCCAGGCGCAGACGCTTCCTGCTCCCTTGGATGGGTCGTCTCGCAGGTTGAAGCCGCGGGCTTCGAGGTGAAGAACATCGACGTCCTCGGCGTTCACTATTCCGCTACCCTGTGGAAGTGGTACCTCAACTGGGTAAGCAACCGGGAGAAAGTTGTCGAAAAATACGGCGAGAAGTCAGTCGGTTTCGTTGTCTACACTAGGTCGGTTACTGATGCTTTGTTTAGGTGGTACCGTATCTGGGTCTTCTTCCTTGCTTGGTCGACCATTATCTCGCGACAGGGTTCCGCCTCTGTCTTCCAGCTTACCCTTCACAAGAACTTGAACGCCTACCACCGTGTCAATGGCATCCCTTCCCATGCATCCATCCATGTCAAGGAACGCGAGCAGCGGGAATGGGTGTCGATCGAATAGAGAGCTTCCGTTTCTGCATGACTTGTCACTCGTTTATAGCTATAGATACCCCGCAACCTACTACCTTATCTGAGGATAATATACCACCCAGTGGCGCATGAGCCCGACTGACTAAATGGTGTGATGTGCGAACTTGGTGAAACTAATAAACGGATGTTAGAGTTTGCCTTTGATCATAGACTTGACGCTCTCTGGATCGAGGACAGCCTGAGGGTAAGGTAACTGGGAAACTCTAACATGCTCGAAGCCACCATCCACAACCAGTACTTGACCATTAATATAGGATGCTGCATCGCTGAACAGGAACACCGCAGCACTTGCAACATCCTGCACCCTGCCCATACGGCCGAGAGGATATGCAGAGGAACCAGCTGAGCGTACCATCTGAGTTGAGAGTCGCAAAATGCCCTCGGTGCCGGCGATCGGACCTGGGGCTATGACGTTGGAGCGAATACCCTTAGGACCTTCTTCTAATGCAAGCACCGCAGAGAACGCATCTACACCAGCCTTGGCTGCTGACACATGTGCTTGGTATGGTGTTCCTGTCAACGTACGGGTGAGCCCTCCACTGAGGCTGTTGCAAAACAAGAGAACCTTTGTGATGAAGCGTCGAGCTCACGTGGATGTAGGCGCCGTGAGATGCTCTGAGGTATGGGAGAGTAGCTTTAACCGTGTTGAACGTTCCCAGCTGGACATTACAGTCAGTCCGAGATATGATAATTTATTGAGCGATTCTTCGCGAACCGTGTCGATTTCGACGACCGTCTTGAATGCGTTTTCCGACATGCCATCGATAGAAGCCAAGAAATTACCCGCTGCACCTGATACACACCCACATCTCTCGTAATCCTGAGGGAATAAATGAACTTGTTGACTGCTCACCGCAAATAACGAAGTCGACGCGGCCAAAGCGCTCGATAGTTTTAGCAACAGCCTCCTTCAGTTGCTGAGGATCTCTGACGTCTGCACGCGCAGCCACACACGTCTGTCCCGTGAGCTGCGAGAGCTCGTTCGCAGCCTCTGTGAGCCTATCAAGTCTGGAGACTCGTGTGAAGAGACCGAGTACACGGAATGTCAGTGTTGGGGACGTACTTCCGGCCAACGATGGTTGCATTAGCGCCGTGGCGCATCTTCAAATAAATAATCCAGAATCGGCCACTGAGAATGGGACGGATTTCATTTCAACAAGTTACGACGTACGATCGCCTCCACCATTGCTTTACATATCCCAGACCCTCCGCCTGTGCAAAATAGAACTTTGCCTTCAAATATATCGGGCTTGAAGACGTCGACTGACGGCGGCGCAACTACGTGCTTGATGGGCATAATTCAAGGTGATGAAGCGTTGCAAGTATCGTAGCACCGTCACCGTCTGTGCACCGATATTACCATCATGATACGTGGGGTGTAACCGGGTAATCCGGTAATTCCATTAGCCGCGCCGGATCGGCTACTACCAGCGAGATAGCTGGAACCCCTCGCTCTCTCTCACTCTACCGACAATGTAACAATATATGGGTATGTACTATGTACTGTCTTGTCTGTGCTTTCGATTCCCAACGCTCCGGTAGGAAGTTGACAACTTGACACGGACATCAGAAGACCCGGGAAATCCAATAGGACTCCAGACATCGCAGTAGCTGATGGCCAACATACCATTTGTTTCGAAAGTCTTGCCCCAGTCCCGCTTTGCACCTCGAGAATGCTACGCCCCAGTGACAACGGCTCAGCTCTGTATATATCTCAACTCCACTGCTCGTGCGCCAGGGCCGATAACGCCTGCCTCCGGTCAACATTCTGGAGTTACGTGGCAGGAAATCTACAACTAACAGGCGTGGTATGTTCGCCTGTGAATGGTGATCGCATCCGGTCCAAGACACTCGTTCATTCTTGAGCGTTGAGTCCGTTTTTCTTGCTTTCCACTGTATACGGGGTAAAATGGTCACAAGTTTATGGAGACTAGACGAATCCAATCGATGGGTGATGCACTGATGGATGTTTTGATCAATGGTGGTCATCGACGCGCAACACCAAGCTGACTGTTTTGCAGAGATAAGCCATAAGCGTCTGACACGCTGAGAATAATATGACCAGGCATACCGCATGAAAGTTGTCGCGCACCACTCTCTTGCACAATTGATAAACTCGGCGCTCCCGGGCCGTATCCTGAAAATAAGGATTCGTCACAGATAGCAAGGCGTTCGCATCGGTCGTATGTCCTTTCCTGGCCTTTTTTTATCGAGTGAGAAGCAGTTCGATTCCTCATTAGTACGCACGACTTAGTAATGTTCTTGCCTTGATTTAGACCATGTAAAACTGTCGATGCGACGCACCGCGATTCATCGATTCATCGGAGTCCGCCTGCAGCTCCAACGCCCTGCCCCTGTCTCCTTGACAAGGGAAGTCTGCTCCGTAAGCCGCATCCATTGTGTAACATGAAGCGTTATTCTCCCGTCATATTTCCACATGGTATTTAACTGTCGGTATAAAAGGTGGTGTAGTTCCCTGAATCTCCATAGCTTCCTGCATTACACATGTTTACAACAACTAAGTTGACCTACTTTTCTCCCCCTGCTGATGGCTCCGGAGCCTTTGCCCACATAAACGCCGATCCAGCTACCGGGGGGCGACCAAAGAACTGGAATGAGGACATCCGAGTCGCCCAGATAGAAGACATCCGCGGGAAGGAGGTCGAGTATAGCCTTGATGTCTCTGGATTCCAGTACTATCGCCACCAGGCCAAGCACACCAAATTCACGAATGATAAAGAGATAGAAGAAGAATACTATCCAGAAAGCGTCGAACTTCTCAAGAAGTTAACCGGTGCTAGCAGGGTGGTAATCTTTGATCACAGTAAGCGGGGTTTCTTCGCTGTAAGTGGCCACCGGGTTTACATATGGCTTCTTATCAGCTATCCGCCGCAGGCGTCCTGGTGAGGTTGATGACAACCCGCACAAACGCCAACCTCTTGCACTCGTCCATGTTGATCAAACCGAGGGGTCTTCCATTGTTCGAGTACATAGACATCTTCCTGCCAGAGACGTACCTGGCCTTCTTCGTGGTCGTTTCCAGATCATAAACCTGTGGCGTCCGATTTCTCATCCGGCAGTCGACTGGCCACTGGCTGTCTGCGACTTCCACAGTCTTGTCATGAAAGAGGATCTCCTTCCAGTTGCACTCATCTATCCTGACCGGGAGGGTGAGACGCACGGTGCCAAATACAGTCCCAACCAGAAATGGATGCACAAGAGTGCTATGGATCCAGAGGATTTCGTCTTGTTTAAGTGGCCAGTGTTAACTGCGGGCAAAAGTGTACCCTAGTAGAGTCTGTCCTGACCCGGGCTAGTTTCGATTCCGTTCAAGATGGTAGCGTTGCTATCTTGACACCACACACCGGCTTTGAAGACCCGAAAACCCCGAAGGATGCTCCTCTCAGGGAATCCATCGAGCTCAGGGCCCTCGTGTTTTATGAGAACTGACTAATACGCGCGGGACGAAGGGAGTATAAGAGGTCATATGGAAGTATGTTCTGTTTTGTTTCCCTTTATATTCTTCGCTCATGGCCATTGGTGGGGGACCCTGACTGGTTGTATTTACAATGTATACTACCATGAAAATGGAGGTGAAGTATAGTCTGGAGGATGCAAAGTTGTAAGAAGAATCTTGTACAAACGAGGTAAAGTCAACCCTAACCATACCACGTGCTTGGTCCTTGCCACTGCTGCTGGTGTCCATTAACAACATTTCTCTCAATTTCAGTAACGAACCTGAGCGCAGGTAGGGTTTTCCAGGGGTTCATGCCCGAAGGACTTCGGGGTAACTGCAGAGGCACTTTCTGGCGATAAAAACTGTCCATTTTACTCCATCGCTAAGTCCTCTGTAACACCTCCTAAATCCACCATCAATCGCGCACGCAGAGAGCAGCCAAGTAGTCAGTTACCACCTTGCCTTATTATCTGGGGGTAAGGCAAGGTGGTACCCCAAAGTCTTCCGATCTAGGAGCCAGGCTAGCCGTCACCGCGGACACTCAGCGCTGGCTGCGCAATGTCCTTGGCACTAAAGAAACCGTTAGGTCTCAAATTTGAAAACGTGGTACCTCGATCGCCACGACAGAACGAACCACGTAAAGAAGCAAGAATGATCCCACTTGGTCGGTTCACCGTCAAAGATCTGTCGCGCATGTACTCCGCGGAACGTTGCTTCCAGGACGTATATATATCTGGAGGAAGTGGCATTGGCAATAGCAAGACTCGGATACCTCACTTGCACTGATGTTGTGTCCCATCTCGTTAATCCTTGCAACAGCGGTCCTGAGCTTGCGGGCAACTGCTCAATCATGTGCCAGCAGTCCCTTGTGCTGTCACAGGTTGATCTACAATGAAACCGCAAAGGCTGCAGCCATTGCCCAACTCGGCAGGATGGGTACTGTGCCATCGTCTGAGGTGGTCTACCCAATGGGAATGGGGTGCTTCTCAATTGAAAACCCTCCCAACGATGCTCTCATTGATTGGTAGGGCAGAGCTTTCCTTTGAAACTGAACGCACCTGAATCAGTTGGTGTAGCCCTAGTCCTCATATCCAAGTATGCTGTGCTTTCAACAATTGGGGTAAGTCGACAACGGATACTTAGCAGCTTCGATCCCCCCTGATAATCTGTAGGTGGCAGGATTGCTGAGGGTTGCCAACCGGACTCGACCCCAAGCGACTAGGCGTCCCACAATTGGGATCGGGAAGTTCGTGATGATGATGTATTAGCAGCAATGAGTGATAGAGACAGACGGTTCCTGCTATAAATTGGTGACGCGCTATATGCTGGTGACGAGATGTGTTTGTTTGTAGACATCATTTAAATAGAACGTTGTATGAGGTGGTCCGGTAATACTACCCCGTGTCGCAAGTCTGAGCAGGTGGTATTATGGAATGGAAGGAACACGGCGGAATCCTACGACAACGCCAATATTTTCTCGATGAGGATGTCCTTGCCCCTGACCTCGCTGTTTCTTATGTTGGACACAAAACTCTTGCTAAACCAACGCTTCACTTTCTTCTTCGATTCATCACTGCATTCTTCCTGGATACGCTGAAGGAGTTCAGCCACTACGAAGGCTCCATTCCCTTGAGCCATGGCCAGTGTGGTTTCCTTGTCCACTGTAGATAGAAATGCTGAGGCGAGTTCGGCAGGTGAAAATAGTGTTGTTCGTTCGACAACTTTTGTGGAGCGAGAAAAGTGGCCTCCTTGCAGAAGACTTTTGTACATCCTGGATGTGTGCGGCAAGTCGATAGGATGAAGTCGCGATGGATCATCGGACGGATACGTTGATGCAAGTGGTTGAATAAGAGCCGAGATGGCAGCTGATTTGTCTGAAAATCAAGCATCCAGTCAGGGATAGGCGAGCGTCAGTAGCACTTCGGACACAAACCTCCTTCGGCGTGAAGCATTATCTCTAGAATGGCAAGGCTTCCACCAGTGTCACGCGCAACTTCAGCACCTTTCTCTTCCACGAACTTGAGCAAACTCGGGCTCGCGGCTTGTCGGATTTCGGCTGATCGTACAGCACTATCCTTTTTGCTCGTCTTTTCCCGTATGCTGTCCGTTTCTGCAATAATAGCTATTTGTGCCGGGGTGAAATGACGTCGCGTGCGGGGTACTAGGAGGTAGAAAAGAGATCGACGACCTTGGGGAGTGGTCACAAAGGTCTCTGCACTTGAAGTGATGTCAGAGACCAGCGATTTTGCTGTAAGTTTTGTATCGCTGGGTGGCATGTCAGTAGCCATCCCAATCATGATAATTACGCACTGACTCACTCAATAACGTCAAGAGCGGTAAATATCACAAGTTGCGCCTCATCGTCGACACACATACGTGCGATATGAGGTTTAATGACTTTGATTATATGTTTCCGATCCTGGGTATTGTGAGTACGTGTCTCAATGCAGAATAAGATCCTGAAACCTTGGCTGTGCCAAACGCGAGGAATTCCCTAACGGCCCTGCTACCGTCTTTTGTGTGCACCGTTTCGGCCAAAACGTCTTGACAGCTAAGGACAGTGGTTAGGTGAAATTTAACACTTTCGGAGTCGGAATACCTCTCGAAAATCTCCCGGCGGAGTTTTTCTCTTTCACTCTCATCTTCAACGTCGTGAATTGTAGCTAGGTACTCCCAAAGTGCACGATGCACGATGGCATGCGTAACCGTTCCTTTATCCGGGTTGTTGAAACTGCAAACGATGTAATCAGAAGCGGATGTAGTGTAACCCCACTCACATGGTGGTTAAGTTCTCCTTAACAGCGCTTAAGGTTCGTTTTTTCCTATCTCCTTCTATACCCTCCAAAACCCCTTGCAAACCCCGCTTTGCTTTTTCTTTGTCTGCTTCTGTTCCACGATTCGTCGAAAAGAGAGTGATTTCTTTGCCATAAAAGTCGCGTAGCAATATCGAACGTTCGTAGGCATTTGCATAGAGCTCGAACGCGTCGGCCAGCACCCTTGATGCCTCCCGATGCAGCAGCAAACGTAGAATATACCCCTGGAATTCAGAGAGTATAGATTCACGGTGTGCAGTGCAATGCCTTATCAACTTCGATACTAGGAACTTGAGGAGAACCTTTACGCTCAATAAGTAGGCGAAAAGCGGGAACGACATACCTTGGAATATTTGCCTTCAGCAAGCTGTTTGAAATGGCCCTTGAGCTCCGAGGCGATCTGATCTCGCTCCTTTCGGCCGCCATACTTGACGATGGTTTGGATGATCCTGCTCGCGTCATGTTTCAACACAATGTCTTTTACTTTCCCTTCTACGATTTTCATCAGGTCGCGAACGTGCTGCTGGCGTTCAGCGGGGGGTATATTTTTCTGACGCGCAAGGGACCAGACGCGTTTTGCTTCTACGAGGAGTTGAGAATGTGGTTTGGCAGCTTTTCGTTGTTCGTGTAATGCCCGCTGTACTTTGTGTGATTCCCGGGCAGCTGATACACCACGTTAGATCAACGACACCTTGGCCCAGAAACAGATCATTAGATAAAGTACCATTTGGGTCTTTCTGACCAGCAGCATCTACCGACATTTCGCCCGCCCCACCACCCGTGTCCTCGTCCCCGTTGTCATCTTCGTCTTCGAGTTCCGCAGCTATGTCTTCGACCTGGTCTTCATCACTCTCATCCGAGCTCTCATCGTCAGACTCCCGGCTTACGGGAAGGGTAACTGGCTGCTTGCGTTTTTTCACGATTTCTTCGCGGGTAGTTGATGGGGTGAGCCGTAGCTTTTTGGCTGTCGGGCCTGCCTCTGAGACAGACGTCCTTTTTTTCGAGTTTTTTTGTTGGGCGGGCATGACCTCCTGATGATGTGTCGTACCGCGGTGTGGGCTTGTGGTTTTCCTTGTAGCAATCTTTCTAGTCACCTATATAAGTACAGAATCACGTTCTCACCCCTCTTGCGTTTTCCTACGTACTTGCTCATCAACTACTACAACGTACATGGGACAATATCCTTCTGAACCAGATTAACAATGGTATACTCTCCACGGGAACAGGAGAGCGCCTTCCATTGGTGTTCATCTAATTAATCCATTACATCACTCACTTCTCCTCGTAGAATACTAGAGCTCTAAGTTCAATGGACTTTCTGAATGGCGCGTCTTTTGGAGTCTTCGGATCCTCAAATCCACTGTGGGGCACCAAAGTAGCAACACTGCCGTCTTGGATGGAATCAAAGCTAAGGCCGGATCAGAATGAAGCGCAGCTATTGAGTTGAACATAGGCTGACCACTTAAGCAGGACAAAATCCTCTGGATCCATGGCACTCTTGTACATCCATTTGTGATCAGGGTTGTATTTAATACCGTATACCTCACCCTCTCGCTCGTAGAACTTTATTGAGGTCGGCATAAGATCTGCTTCTGTGTCAAGGCTACGGAAGTCACAAACAGCCAAGGGCCATTCGACTGCTGGGTGAGATATTGGACGCCACAGGTTGATGATCTGAAAACGACAGCGAAGAAGAGCAGGTACGTCGGTGGCGGGAAGGTGCCTGTGGACCCGGGCAATGGAAGCTGCCATTGTCTGATCGGCATGGACCAGCTTAACAGGTTGGCGATTCTGCGGGCTGGTATCACTCTCTCCTGGACGCCTGCGGCGAAGAGCTAACAAGAGGTCAGATGTGAATTTGGTGACTTTCACGGCGAAGAAGCCAGCTCACTGTGATCAAAGATAACCACTCTGCTAGCGCCAGTACACTTCTTGATGAGCTCGATGCTCTCTGGATAGTATTCTTCTTTGATCTCTTCATCATCTGTGAACTTGGTGTGCTTGGCAGAGTGGCGGGAGTACTGGAATCCAGCAACATCCAAGGTATAATTGTCTTCCTTCCCGCGGATGTCCTCGATCTCGACGATGTGGGGGTCTTCCTGCCAGTTCCGTGGCCGTTCTCCGGTCACTGGGTCGGGGTAAACTTGGGTAAACGCCCGAGAGCCGTCAGCAGGGGGGGTCGCGTAATTCAGCTTGGCTGTAGTGGACATGAGGTGTGTGAGGAGAGTCGGACTGAGAATATATAGCTAGGAGCTCCAGCGCCTTTTATACCGCGGACAATGTGCATAGAGAATGATGAGAAGGATGCTCCATCAGATCAATGTCAGTGGCCTTACCGATCAACCCCCAGTTGTTGCTGAGGTGACAGACTTTGCGGGAGTTGGTTCAAAAACCGAATGATTCAAAGGAGATAGATCTGATGAGTACGACCCGCTTCTCAAGTAGAGTCAGACACCGCAGCACAGTTTGAGCGAGAAAGAACAATCATGTCAAAACCCCTCGGCATGCACGTCGTGCCAGGCGTCAGGGTATTTGGCTGACTCATTCTATCTGACAGATATTCATGATCTTGACAAACATGATGGCTAGTATAAACGCGCATACATACGGATCAGTGATGCTAAACGATGACTCGAACTGCTTACTACGGAGGGGAACCGCAGCACGGAGTGACCTTCTTTTGGAGAAGGCGCTGGGGGCCCAGACTATAACAGGAACTTGGAACTACTTGCCACGGGAAGGGATGTGTGTGAGTGGTTATCGATTATCGACCAAGAAGACTCATTCGAAGAGTGGGTACATGGGTGCCAGCGACCTTGGTGCTGCGGTGTCATTGTCCGAATGAGTTTATGAGCTCATGTTCTCCGCCTGCTCACCATGCCGCATTTCGCGAGGTCCAAACGGAAGTTTTGGTATGAGGCACCAGGGTAGCACTGCTGCCCCTTTGGGTGGAATCAAGGCTAAGTGTGGGTCAGATCGGAGTACATACCTGAGATAAGCAGGGCGGATCCATAAACCACTTCAAATTTCCTTTAGACTTGAGGGTCAGTCGTTGTGGTGGCAACCCCTATCACGAAGAAATGTCAAAAAAAGCTGGTGATGACAAGAGTGGGAGTTGAACCCACGCCCTCTTACGAGGATGAGAAGACCTGAAGAATATGGCGTAAAATCTGCACATTTATTTTTCGCGGTCGCATCGCCACATCACCGCATCTGTTCAGCCGCGATACCTATATGCTGCGGCCTCGCCACCGCGTCCAATCAGCCGCGTCACCCATACGTCGCGGCCTCACCGCCTCGCTGCCGCACCCGTTCAGCCGCGCCCGTTCAGCCACGCCCGTTCAGCCGCGCCCGTTCAGCCGCGCCCGTTCAGCCACGCCCGTTCAGCCGCACCCGTTCAGCCACGCCCGTTCAGCCGCACCCGTTCAGCCGCGCCCGTTCAGCCACGCCCGTTCAGCCGCGCCCGTTCAGCCACGCCCGTTCAGCCGCGCCCGTTCAGCCACGCCCGTTCAGCCGCGCCCGTTCAGCCGCGCCCGTTCAGCCACGCCCGTTCAGCCGTGCCCGTTCAGCCGCGCCCGTTCAGCCGCGCCCGTTCAGCCGCGCCCGTTCAGCTGCGCCCGTTCAGCCGCGCCCGTTATTTTTAACTGTACCACCATGTAATTGTATTATTGTATATAGTACACAGATAAATAAATTTGGTTGGAGAGCATTTTTGTTTTCTTCTAGTTCACTTGTTGATTTCACTCGTTGTTGCTGTATGGTAGGGAGGGGGAGTGTGTAGATATAATGTGAGAGGAACAATGCCACATATAAATCAGATCTACTAAGGACAGAGGGAGTGCGAGAAACTAAAGATCCTCTGCCAAATGAATGAATGAGCTGTGAAAGAAAAAAATGGAGAGGGACATATTAATACCTGGAATTCTCTCCACACAGATGGCTCCTTGACGATTTCAGTTGTCTCGCCCTCTAGGATTTCCCCTGGCAGCATCTCCTTCAGCACCAATCCCTCCCTGTCCTTCTTGTGAAATATAAGACCAGCTTCTACTTCTGCTTCACACATCCAGTTGCACTTCTGTTCTTTGACATCAGCTGCACGTGGATAGTCTTCAAGCATGTGGAAAGTGGGTTGTGAAAGGGAGATGAAGATTTGCGAGAGGTGAAGATGATTTTTGTGGATAAATCTTCAACACCAGCAGGTGTGGGTGCAGGTGTGGAGGAAGCTGGGGAAGTGGATAATGTAGAGTAAGATGGAGATGCCTCTGGGGTATTGGGAGCAGTGAAATATGAGGTGGGGATGGGGGTGCAGAGGAAGCTGGAGAAGTGGATAGCATAGAGTAAGATGGAGACACCTCTGGGGTATCAGGAGCGGTGAAATATTGGGCTGTACCTTGGTCATTGGATCCCTGTACCTCTGACAAAATTTGTCTGGAGTCATACCAACCTCAAACATGCATGCATTCCTCTTTGCAACCTTGACCAACCCTGAGCTGCATACCTGACCCTTGACCAACTGTCCTTCCAGCTGGTTTGGGAGTTGGGAGTCATTTGGGTTGATACAGAACATGAACCAATTGTGTGTGTCTCCCAACATATCTAAGAGTGTATTGAGGGCAGCACAGAACTTGCCTGTGACACATGGAGTACCTGTGTTCTGGGAAGTAGTGATGTCCTCATCCTCATGTTCTTCTTCGATGATGGGAGGAGTCATGCCAGTGGCAGCATTGTCGCATGGCATATGACAAACAGTATTCTTCTGGCAGGTGGAAGGAGCATGCATGGGTTTGACAGGTTGTTGGGCTGCAACAATCATGTCCTCACTCTTGGGATGGGCCTGTGTGGCAGTGGCTTTCCCCGAGAAGAGATCTTTGATGAAGGGATTGATGGACCCTGCCCCTTCAGCACCATCCCCAAGGCCAGTGCCAGCTGCCATGCTGTGAAGAAGAGCCACAAACTTGGGGTTAAGAGCATTGAGGTTGTGCTCTAAAAATGCCTCTGAGGAATATGTCACCAGGTCATTGAAATGGCAAACAGTGAACATTGGGAAACCAGACCCACCTCCTAGTTTAAAGGAAGAATGGTTGCCCCATCACTTGGCGAAGGCATCGGCCATGGTGTGATCCATCTTTTTGTGGGATCAGTGAGCTTGGTCATCCATGATGTGAATAAGGCCACCAGGTTCATTCCAGAGGAGTCGGACGCATTTGGAGTTGTCAAAGTAAGAAATGAGGGGGACGTATTTAGATATGCCTTCTGATTGGTATTCATCAACATGGGACTCAAACAGCCATTGTTGAATGAAATGGTGCAGTCATTCATTGGTGAAGTTAATGCAGAATTGGTCCAGCAAGTTGGATCTGCCTGACATGTTCTGTGGACTGGGGAGATCAAATAAACTGATAAAAGTGTCAAAGAGATATATTGTCCATCATAGATTGACCAAGTTCTTCTTCAGCTGCTCAAGTGTAAAAAAATCATGATATCACAAGTGCAAAAGCCACATACCTTCTTCATGAATGGTGCTGGTGCATGTGAACACACTTGGAATGTTCCTTGCCACCCTTGCTTGTGATGGAGCAAGGGGGGCAGCTTGGTATGTGTGGCTGGTAGTTCAATATTACAAGACTTTAAGGGCTGAGAGTGGCATGCTACAACTTCACTATTAGTCACACTTGTGTAGATATTCTCAATATAGGCTGGCACAACTGCCAGCAAAACAAATCAGATTCAGACAGTACTACAGACATTAGGGAGCAATAAGTAGTGAGTGAAAAAAATGGAAGTATCACAAATCGATGTTGGAAATATCTCCATCCTTCACCACTGTTGTCTGTTCAAATTGCATGAACCATGGATTTGGTGGAGACGGGGCATTGTCATCACTGTTGGATGAGAAATCTTTCACTTCAACAGGGCCAGAAATGGACCCCCCCAGCTGATGAGGCCAAGCAGGTTGGGCATCAGTATTTACTTAGTGCAGATATTGTGTGATTAGTATGTTACTGTAAGTCAACTAAATACAAATGTACTGCCTTTGTGTTTCTTGCAGAAGGACCGCCTATTGGAGTCCATAGCCTCAGGGGAGGATAAGACATTAATAGAATGCAACCTCTTGCCTAGAAAAAAAAAAGTTGATTTTGATGGTAAAAACAACAGTACTTAACTTACTGGTCCCAGTCACTGTAGTGATTTCGAGGTCAGCAATGGAACTCAATAGCTCAACCACCTCATTGTCACTCTCACTCATAGCCTCTTCATCAGTTCCCACTATGTCCAATCCAACCTTCCACTTGTTGAAAATATGATTGGGGACAAGATTTTGAGTGACTGTCCAAAAAATAAGGATGGCTGAAGTTGTAATATTTTAGCCACATACTGAACCACAGGTTACTATCAGCAATGCCAGACTTCTGACATCCCTTGAAACAGGCAAGAACAATACCATTTGGTTGAACAGCCATAGAGAGTTTGAGTCTTCCATTAGAGCCAGTTTGGAAACTGGTGTAGAGCATTGCTGAGCATTACCAACTCATGTTGGCTCGCTTGAGTCTAATGGTGCATGCCAAAATTTAGTTGGAGCCATAATCTGTGCCAGGCTGCCGATAGTGATAATCAATCAGCATGTACTACAGTATGTAACCCTACATGTGCCCTCTCAGCCTAGAACAATGCCATTGTCTGTAAAGTATATTGTGTTGGTCCTCAGCATCATTCTCTGTGCAGTCACACATCTCCTCGAATCAGATCTTGGGCGAGAACCTCAGCCATACCACACCTCCCACCTGTCTGGTGAAGACTGGGTGCTGGAACTGCTTGCAGGTCACCCAGAATGCATTTGTTGCGAACTTGGGATGCATGTGGAGGTTTTCCAGCAGCTTATTGTTGCTTTGCAGCAGCTTGGACTCAAGAATTCAAGGTTCATTTCTCTTGAGGAACAACTCATGATATTCCTGTATACATGAGTCACTGGCCTGCCATTCAGGCATGTAGGGGAGTGCTTTCAACAATTGAATGATACGATTTCATGGTATGTATTTAACACTCCTCTGATGTAACTACTGCATGGAGTTTCCAGTTATTTCCATATGATTCTCACCATGCTTGCAACACAACCTTTTTATGCAGACTATGTTTGATTTCCAGCTGGTGATACTGTTCCTTCGAAGATCCAAAACAACCCAAAATTCTGGCCATACTTCTGCAACACTATCAGTGCCATCAATGGAAGCCATATCCATGCATCTCCCCCCACCTATGTATGTTCAAACTACCAGAACCGCAAGGGATATGTTTCCCAAAACTGTCTCTTCACATGCAATTTCAACTTATGGTTTATATACTCTCTTATGGGCTGGGAGGGCAGTGCAGCAGATGCCTGTGTCTATGAATATGCAACCACACATGACTTGAGGATTCCTGAAGGAAAGTTTTTGCTTGCAGATGCTGGATTTCCTGCAGACTGAACGTTGCTTGTTCCATACCATGGTGTATGCTACCATTTAGCTGAATGGGGCTGTGCTAGTGTAAGGTAAGTAATCACACTTATGATCCCCTGACCATCCTACTGATGAAAACTGCAGGCCTGTGAACAAGCAAGAATTGTTCAACTTGCAGCATGCATCGGCCCACAACGTTATTGAATGTATTTTTGGTGTCATAAAGCATCATTTTTGTATCCTTTCACTAGTTCCACAATTTGATCTCCAGACACAAGTGCAGCTGCCAGTGGTGCTTTGTGCCCTTCATAATTTCATCCACATCCATGATCCATTCGAAGGCAAACTTCCAGAAGACTTTGGTGCTCCATTTGATGCAGGTGTGCAAGGTGGCAATGGGTTGGAGGGGCCTGGTGTACTGGAAGGCAATGGAGAACATCTGGAGGCATGCATGTTGCATGATCAAATCGCTGAGGCAATGTGGATCGATTACCAGGCCATCCTGAGGGAGAGAGAGGCAGTGGGACACATGGAGCTCCTTGAAGACAAGTCTGACATGGATGTGGATGGCACTGAGGATGAGTAAGTGGTGAGGAATATACCTGGGAACTACTGCCCTTCCATGTACATTTTTTTAATGTGAAGACTTAATTCCAGCAATTACTCTTGATAAGTTGTCCAAAACAGCATGAATTACAACAACAAATGAAAGAGGTACATGTCAGTATGGAAAGTATATGCAGCTACATTGTAATTCAAAGTGGTCCCCCCTGATCAACACCACCTTCCTGCAGATGACCAGTGATTGATCATTGATACTCTTGGTTGGTGATGGCTTGATGAAGAGTGGTATTTGTGATGGATGCATACATCATTGCCTTCTTCTCATCTGCAGTAACAGTGTGCACCATAAATGCACCTACCTCAACCAGTAGCGAGGAGTCCTCAGTGGACAGAAGGGTCAATGCCTTGGAAAGGTGGTCAACAGAACTGGTGGCAGTAGGGGTGGGGGCAGGTGAGGCAGCACTTGCATTTGCACTGTCATGGTATATCAAACCAAGGAGATTGGTCATGTGGTTGACAGTGCCATTTGATGTGATACTTGTGTCTCATTTTCATGTGGTGGTCTTGTAAAGCTTAACCTAGTCAATCGATCATTCAAAGTGACTGAATTATGCAGCAATGTTGCACATGGATCCCCTGTGCTCACATAAACCCCATGATATAGTGAAGGCCAGACTTGGGCCATCTCTTCTTGAATGCAGTAACAAGCTTATTGAGCTCCATATCTGTGATCTTTGTGTATCTTCATTCAATGCTGTGAGACTTCATGTAAGAATGTAAGGTGTTTCTGTGGATTCCAAGGATGTGTGCAAGCTCAGTGGTGTGGATTTGCCTTGAAGTTGAAACAGCCTCCTTGAGAATGTCAACATCAATGACTTTCCTTGGTTGTCCTCATAAGCCAGTGTGAATTTCTGTCACAGGCTCTGGGATCTCTACAGTGTCATCAACACTAATCATGAGTTGATGTGACAGACTGTTAGTGTCAGTGGCCATTTATTCAAATGTACTCACTGAGTCCTCATGCTGTCTCAATAACATGTAAGTGCTGCATGCAGTCTTCCAATTGACTTGGCTGCCAGTGAGAGCCAGTCAGACAGATCAGATCCTAGATGGTCTTCTTCAATTGCAGTAAGGAGATGCATCGTGTTGCCTTCCAGAAAGCCAAGGTGGCAGTCTAAGTGAACCAAGTCATCATCCTCTTGAGTCCAGGCATGGAGAGCACACTGGTAAATTTTGGATAGTGAGTCAAAAGTGGTGAGGAGATTGGGTGGCCATGGTGTGGTGCTCACAGGTAGCTGAGAGATGGCACTTGGGAGTGAAGTCACCATCAATAACAGAGTACATACATAGGTCTGGACACATGAAACCTAAACCCACATACAGCCAAACAAATAACTGACATAATTTCGATGCACAATTTTCTAGGCCTAACCTTTCCAGCATTTTGCCCTAATCATGACTAGTCCTTCAGCACCAGCGACTGTGATGGCCACCTGCCATCCCAACTTTTATTTTGAAAATGGCACTGTACATTATCCTGGTCAAAAATTTCCTTTACAAACTCAACCATGACATCTTGGTGAATGAGTCAGCCTTCTTTTCTGACCTCTTTTCACTTGGCAAATTCATGCTGGAAGACAAGGACAGGGAGGGGCATGCTGATCAGAACCCAATTATTGTGAAGGATGGATTCCTCACTACAGAAATTTTGACTTGTTCCTCAAGATCAAGTTCACATGTGTAAGTCTACAAGTTTCTGCTCTGATGCACATACTGATTTCACCTACTAAAGTCCCCACCCACCTGCTAAATATTCTGCAGATGACCTCAAGAACCTCCTGGAGTTTATCTGCAAGTTCCAATGCAGTGCACACCTACTCAGCTTCATTACTTCCTGCATCATCTAGAAATCATATTCCTTCCATCCTTCCAAACTCATTTATCTGGGCATTGAGTACAAGATTCAGGGCACTCTTTGAAAGAGGTTTTATGAGGCTCTGTGACCTCCCTCTGATGAAGATCAAGAAGATTGACCATTGCTGGATGGGGATGGAAACTTATGTCACCTATGTTTATGTCAGGTCCCACCTGGATGAGTATGTCCACACAGTCACTGTGGAGGTCCCCCCTATTGTACATGCCACTCACTGTTAGGATCATAAGGGGTGTGAAGAAGACTGGGGTGTGGTGTGGTGGAATGGCATGGGGCAACTCCTCCTCAATGGAAGGAGCCCATACAGTTTTGACAATGCTATTGATCTCTTCAAGAAATTGCAGTTTGGCCACATTGGCAAAGATTGCAAGAGGTATATGTTTTCAAATATAATGCACATAAATAAACCACTCACCCACTCCCACTGATTCATTACCTGTGTTAGAGATCAGTCTTGTCCAGAGCATTATACCTATGTAGGTCTTGTCACATATCATTTGTTACTTCTTGTAATTGTATGTAGAAATGTGGTGGCACATCGTATAAATTGACAAGACTTTGTTTAAGTCAAAGTTATCTTGGCCTGGCTCATAAGCCAATTTCGAAGCACAACTAAGTTGTACTATATACAATAATACAATTACATGGTGGTACAGTTAAAAATAATGGGTGTGGCTGAATGGGCATGGCAGCGAGGCAGTGAGGCCATGATGTATGGGTGACATGGCTGATTGGACACAGTGGTGAGGCCATGGCATATAGGTATTGTGGCTGAATGGATATGGTGATGTGGTGATGTGACCGCAAAAAATAAATGTGCAGATTTTATGCCATAGAAGAATCAGGCAAGCTTGTGCTTGAGTCACACACCACAGACCACTCGGCCATCTTGCCAGCACAACTATGGAAAGCCAGAGCATCATGCTCCCCCAGAGTTCGGACTTTGGTGAATTGTGTTCTGCATTTGGGAGGTTGGCATTTGAGGACCTCAAGTACCACAAATTACATATTCAACTTCAATAAATTACACTTCAAACTTGGAAGTTTTGTGTTTTGGACTTTGGAGTTTTGCAGATCATACTTGGGAGATTTGCACATTGTACTTGGGAGTTTCACACATCATTCTGGGTAGTTCTGTGTACTGTCCTTCGCATTTTGCACCAAATATGTATTGTGAAGAACACCATTCCCTGTTCTCCTGATGTCAATTGTGATAATTCTAGCATTATTGTGATGCAAGACTGCCCAACTCCCTTATACCACTAGTGATGCATCAATATACTAGTAGTGCAGATCTGAAATCCCCCCCCCCTTAGGAGTTTCTCCCCACAAATCCCCACAGTTTATTTTCATCACTCCTCCGCATTTTATTTAATTACATAAGCATAAAAAAGCGCAGCCACTACTCCCAAAACATGTCGTCATTTGGCATGTGGCTGATATCCAACATTCCCACGCACTGCCCCCATTGCCCCCAGCCTCCCCTCCCTTCCTGGGCTCCATCCCTGCCGTGTATGCACTGTATATGATAGTTAAATGTACTATAAGTGTATTGGACCATACATGAATGCTTTTCTGCCCATCCTAATGGGCCTAAATGATTGCAAAATGTGATAGGGGGAAAAACAGAAAAAGCGAACGCTTTTTTGATATATTGGCCATATCTATCTATTTATTGTGTCCCCTTAAAGGGGCCATGTGTTCCTGAAACATATCAAAAGTTGATAGGCTGGGATGGGGTGCTTCAAGTGTAGTGGCACAATTGCCTTCTCCCTGTGTTACACCCTGAAAATATTTTTCTGTGCTTTTTGGTACTGTTAATTTAATCTGACATGGTGTAGTAGTCATAATAAGTGTATTTGCATGTAATTTGATCATCCATGAAGTGTCTGAAAGGCTCTGAAAAACTGGAAAGTATCTTAGGGGCTAAAACAACAAAAGTGTTCGCATTTTTGATATATTTGACATGGGCACTTAAAAAAGGAATTAGCTTAGAGGATGGCTCTGTACCTACAACCAATTCATTATGTGGGGCAGAAACCTTGAGGTGTTGTGCCATGATCTCTTCCTGCTGGTATTTGGTGGTTTCACCATGTTCTAGGCTGTTTACTGCTATTTTGACTATCTAGGCAGCACTGGAATACTGATTGGCAGTCACAACAACATTCCCAAGTGCATACATTCAGGGGAGAGCACTGGGGAACTGATACAATCCTCCAGAGAGTGTGGGAAAAGGTGCAAAAAATTGCAGAGACTTTCAAAACATATCAAAAAAATGAAACTAGAACATGGCCAGTGCTGCCAGCAGGCACCTTGTTTACAATGCTGGAACACTGCCTCTGTGGCATGTGCCACATGAAAGTGACACCTTGGTGTGATATTCAGTATCCCCTGGAACAGATAGTATACATCTGAGACAGACCTGTGAGAGGTCACTGTTGTGTCTAAGCAGACTCTTCACTCCCAAAGAACTGAGGCCCCAACAGCTCATGCCTAAGTTCAATCAGAAACATGTCCACAGTGAGCAGCCAGCAGTGACTTATAAATCATCCTTGATCAGGAAACAATGGCTACAGATAAAGGGATAGACACCCCCACACAGATACCCACCCAAAAGCCAGATCAAGTCAATGAACCCCACGCAGTCGAAAACCTTGGCAGGGGACATTAACACAGACCCCAGCATGTTCATGTTAACCCACAGGCTATGGTGGTCAGCAAGTGATCAAGGCATTGATCGACACAAATGAGATATGCCATGGACATCCTGGCATGCCACCAAGACAAAACCATGTGCTCCATATTTCTCGAGGGCACACATTGTCCTGAACCTGAATGGCTCGAAGTATATAGGTCCAGCATTAACAAACAACATTAGATGGAGAGTCAGCACTGGATATGCACAGAAGATGCGGTCAGCACATAAGTCATTGAGAGGACTACTCTCCTGAATCCAGTGAACCCCTAATGGCCAGGAAGCAATTAGCCAACCTGAAGTGGCACATAAGGGTGGTCAGGGAGTGCATAGGCAGGAAATACTTACACCAATAAGACATGCGACCCCATGTAGTCCATTTAGTCACAACATATAGGTAGCCTGTGTGCCAAAATGCCAACACTTATATATGGACAGGCCTGTCAGTAATATCATTTACAGTGTCACAACACATAAATGGGCCCATCTAGTAAGATGCACCCACATCACAACATAAAGACAGGCCTTTCAGCAATATCAATTACATGGTCACAACACATATGCCTGTCACAACATAAAGATGGGCCCATCAGTAATATCATTTACAGTGTCACAACACATAGACAGGCCCATCAGTAATATCAATCACACAGTCACAACACATGGACAGGCCTGTCAATAGCAACATGTATGCCTGTTGCAACATAAAGATGGGCCCATCAGTAATATCATTTACAGTGTCACAACACATAGACAGGCCCATCTAGTAAGATGCACCCCTGTCACAACATAAAGATGGGCCTATCAGTAATATCATTTATAGTGTCACAACATATGGAAGGGCCCATCTAGTAAGATATGCCCCTGTCACAACATGAGACGGGCCCATCAGTAATATCAATTACATGGTCACAACACATGGACAGGCCTGTCAATAGCAACATGTATGCCTGTTGCAACATAAAGATGGGCCCATGAGTAATATCATTTACAGCATCACAGCACATAGATGGGCCTGTCTAGTGAGATGCACCCCTGTCACAACATAAAGACAGGCCCATCAGTAATATCATTTATAACATCACAACATATGGAAGGGCCCTTCAGCAGTATCATTTATGCAGTCACAACATAAGGACAGGCCCTTCAGCAGTATTATTTATATGGTCATAATGTATGGACAGGCCCTTCAGTAATATCTTTTATATTGCCATAAAACAAGGATGGGTCTGTCTAGTAAGATCCACCCCTGTCACAACATAAGACGGGCCCAACACCAATAGCACATATAGTGTCACAACATATTGATCAGATCACAGCAAAATATTGAGGCAAGTGTCCTGACAGGCTGTAATTTTCCAACAAGCTGCAAGTGGCTTGCCCACTATACAACTCTGACCTCATCCACCCCAAGCATGAATACTATGCAAGACATGTCTAAAACCCCCCATGGATGGCGAATGGAACTAACAGACTGCATTGCATCATACATGAAAGCCAGATTTCAAGAGGAGGTATTCAGTGGACCTTGCACCCTTCCAGATATATTGATTCCATTTCTGGTGTTATGTGAAGCAGATCACATATCGTCAGTAATCTCACAGGCCTATTGTCGCCAAAGTAAGTCCATCATAATGGTGTGATGGAAGTTTTCATCTTTCTGCAGTCAACATCAGGAAAAATCAGGGTGGAAAAACCTGCAATGCAGAAGCTGCTGAGAGATACATGGAAGTGACTGAGCCATCCATTCTGGTGACCAACTCAAACACCATCCACATTTGGTATTTTCCAGATGCTCTCAGCCCAAAAAGAAGGGTAAGGGAATGCAGAATCTCATATTCTACTGACTTAATGCAATGGCAGGCTGACATATGGAACCACCTTCATCTTCTGAGGGAACCACTGCAGGAGAGCATAAAGGCTTCCCCACAGGCATGGTGGACAGACAAGTCATATTTCCACAATAATGCTGAGTTGAAAGGTGCCATCAACCTGTCACCTGCATGGTTTCAACAGGGTCATGGGGTGGGTGATCATTTCTTTCCTTGTGAATAAAGTGCTCATCTGTCTTGAAGCCCCAAAATGGCTTCCCAGAAGGCTCATGGCTGCTCAAATCCAGGACAGAAAACACTCCTACAAGGGAATGGGTCAACCAAATGTCCAACACCAATGCCCTGTTATCTGCGATCCTGCATGTCATCCATCTGTGAATGTATGCAGATGGCAGGGAAGTGTTGATCTGCCTTGGCAAACAGGTGGAACAGCAGGCAGATTCAGATATGAGCTCCATACTGCTGATATGGAGCTCCACGTATAGCAGCATGTCTGTGATGGTGAATCAGGCAACTTGTTACCACAGGGATATCAATGGATGGGATCCATGGTATGACATGCTGGTAACTGTGGGCAACTACCTGCCCTTGGACTTTGTCATTCCAATGTTGAATCTGCGGCTGCACTACAACCCAGGGATGATCATTGCATTTTCAGGTTCAGCACTGGAGCATGGGGTGGGAGCTGTAGATGGTGACAGAGCATGCCTGGCATACTACATGCATGCCAATGTACATCAGTCGGTGCATGTTCCCATGTGTCAATCACTGTGGATGGACAACCTACTACCTAGACCAGTTGCAACTGGACAACTGTTGATTTGAAGCTGCAAAATTTAATGTTAGATTTAGTAGGTGATGCAGATCTCATATTTTATTAGGATATGCTGGCTCTTGAACT